ACGGCGAGAATCCCACTAACCATGAAAGTGGTTTCAAGAGCTCCGCTGTGGTAGGAGTCCATGGCATGTAAATTGACTGAAACGGCTGGGTTGTCAGCTTGCTAAAATAGCTCGTACGGAGGTGCTGACAAAAACATCCTGGCATTGCAGTCCAACACCTCCAGTCCTCACAGGGTTATCAGTGACGTTTGACTCTGAAGCATTTTTCTCTTGCTGCCAACAGCCATGCCACTTGAACTATTTGCTTTCACATGCTTTCCCTTTGACACGGGTGCTATTTCTTTGTAATATGTAAACACTCAGGAGGATTTCCATGTTTGTTCTTTGGGGAGATAGGGGGGGAGGCCCTTATTTTCCAACGATACATAGAAAATGACATGAAGAAACTGCCTCTTTCACTTCCAGTTTCAGCGTTATTTGTGGGTGATGTTTTCCTGCCTGGCTTTTCTCCTTTTTACCCCCTTTCCCAGCATGCTGTTTATAGCTGGAAAATTCATTGCTCTTCTCAAGAATACAACACTCTTACTGTCGCTGTGCATGGAGCCGTACGATACCAGAGCTTGGTGGCCGCCTGCTTCTGATTACAAAGACACGGGCATTTCTTTTCTTTCTTTGTGTGCTCCTACGCCTGCAGCTGTTGATGATTATGAAAACTCCCCCTAAGAGCAAAGCAAATGGCCATAGCATCCTGTAATAGATCTCCTTGGGCTGACCTACACTCATGTAACATTAAGAATTGAACCCAACTCCTGGATTTTCAAAGCTGCTCAGAGATTTGATCACGCAAGTACCATGGAGGAGCAAAACAATGGAAAGTTCGCCATCAAAACCCTGATATCATGCTGAGCGTGCTGGTCTGGTCTCGCGCTGATTTACTCTAGTGTGACAATCCTGTCAGATTCTCCAGTGCTTCGTGCCATGGCTAATCAGTTCTGCATGATCAGAATAGGCCAGGTCCTCAGGTTGTGGAAATTAACACAGCTTCATTAACTTCAATTAAGCACCAGCTCCTTACAAGGAGGATTTGCCTCACCAGCTTCTTTTCTGGAACTAGCCAGAAAACACGAACTTTGTTTTACCACAAATGCCAAGGTTTCATAGTTTCATAGTTAGTCAGGTCGGAAGGGACCTGAGCAGATCATCAAGTCCAACCCCCTGCCATGGCAGGAAAGAGTACTGGGGTCAAACGACCCCAGCAAGGTGATTGTCTAGCCTTGTCTTAAAGACCCCC